TAGACCGGTGACGACCGCACAGAGTAGCATTATAACATAACTAAATGTATCTAGTATGATAAAACAGCGCTGCTTTACCCCACATACGCACGGCCGGAAGGACCGGAAGCAGTCGACTGTGGCATAATAAAAGCTCCGCTGCTTTCGAGCCGTGTGTCACGCTCGTTCAGCGCCTCGTTTCGCTTCGATGGCTTTCAGCCTCACCCTGCTTCATTCTACTACGTTAATAAATCATTAGCTCATACATGAACATGATTTCTGCCCGAGTCCCGTCGGATTGCATCGGCTGTGGGGATGAAGACCACAACTCCCATGATTCCACACTCAGTCACAGCGTCATCAAACTACGCCTTTGTTTCTTTGTTTGTTTTGAATACGCGCCCTCTAGTGGCAAAAAAATTACATATTGTGCCTTTAAGAAACTAGGAACTTTCTAGGAATCTCCAGCTGTTTCTGCTGTTCCTCAGGTTTGTCTCCTGATCTGCAGTCCATGGAGCAGATTAGAAGGATCATGAGACCCACAGATGTCCCGGACCAGGGCCTCCTGTGCGACCTGCTGTGGTCCGACCCAGATAAGGACGTGCTGGGATGGGGCGAGAACGACCGAGGCGTGTCCTTCACCTTCGGAGCGGAAGTGGTGGCCAAGTTCCTTCACAAACACGACCTGGATCTGATCTGCAGGGCTCACCAGGTGAGTCTTCAGCAGGGCTGAACAAGAAGCCGAGGCTGCATTTTATGTGAATAAAAATATCTGTTGCTGGTTTCAGAGTGAAGCGCGGTGATGTGTTCATTTACACACGAGCAGCTCATAATACGCGTTTTTTTTTAGCAGCTCAGTTTGTTTAATGTGCGTGTAAATGAACACAGTGCCACGCTTCAATCTACAGTCTTACTAGTATTTTTATTAAATACATGATTATTTATTTTACAGTATTATTGCAGTTTATTTTGTTTCTACACTGCCTTTCAAAAATTTGGGAAAGTTCAAAAGTAATGATGCAGAAAATTCAGCTTTGCATCACAGAAATAAATTATATTTCTAAGTATATTAAAATAGAAAACCATTATTTTAAATTTTAATAATATTTTACAATATTACTGTTTTTTTTCTCTATTTTCTGATCAAATAAGTGGCTTTTTTAAAACGCATTAAAAATCTTACTGATCCCAAACTTTTGAACAGTAGTGTATATTTTTATTTAATAATAATAATAATAACAAAAATCATATTTTATATCTGTATTAATGGTTTAAAAACAGTGGGAATACAAAAGTGGCCTATAAAATCTCAAGTGGAAAGAACTGTTTTGCTAACACTTTACTATAAGCTTTCTTTTGTTCAGCATTAGTTAACTACATTAGTTACCAAACTAACAATGAATGATACTTCTACAACATTTAACAATTTAATGTTAATTTCAGCATTTAATAGCATTTTTAAAATCAAAAGTTGATATTAGTTTGCACTGTGAATCTGTTATTTTAGAATCATTGATGCTATTATAGTTTATTTGTTTTCATTAGATTTTATTTTTATGTGGCGATTTTCGTTAAAGTTTTAGTACTTTTGTTGTTTGTTTTTGTCATTTTTATTAGTTTTTGTCTGTATAGTTTTTATTACAGTTTTAGTTATTTTAGTACATCAAGTTAAACTAAATGAAAATGAGAAATGTTGCCTTGTCAACTAGCTGAAATAAGCTAAGTTTGATAAGTTTTTTGGTTTATTTTATTTCAGTTAACTTTTTTTTTATGGTTTTAGATTTAGTTAACTATAATAACCCTGGAACTAACATGAACAATATTTTTTATTAAATTAAATGTATTAAATTTTAATAATTTAACTAACTCTAACTAAGAGTTCTAACGCTAACTCTAGCACTTTCTATTCTATTTTAATTCTACTTTATCTATTTATCTTCTTTTTTATAAAAAAAAACACCTAACACTAGCTTTCTATTTTTTCTATTATAATTGTTTTTCTTTGTGTGTGTGTATATATATATATATATATATATATATACACACACACACACACACACACACACACAAAGAAAAACTATATATATAAATACCT